CGGGCTCAACCCGACTAGGCGCCAGCCTCCCGTAGCCCTGTCTCTTATACACATCTCCCTGGGCACTGGAAGAAAAGACAAAAGGAAGAAGGTTCCCCGTAGGTGAACTGTAGAGTACACTAGTCAACAGTAGATATACTAACTGTGAATTCGAACTATTATAAAAGGGGGAAAATAACTCTAAATTACCCGGGGCAGGAGAGTGAAAAACAATGGTCAGGGTAAGAAGTTGGTGGAGAGGGGGCTAGTCAAAAATCTATTTTGGGCAAGGGCGACCGAACACGTTTCTGCGCTGTTGTTGCAGCTGCGTTAACGTGAGTTACCGTGCCAGGGTAGCTACGGTAACCCTAATTCCCACTGGTGGCTATGGCGGTGTATGGGGGAATGTCACATTGGATATCCAGTGTCTCACACAGACATTCCCAGATTTTACCAGATACAGTAGACTCTTGCCTGCTGTATCTCCAGCAACTTCCGAGATAGGATACCCCGACTTTTCACCGCCGCCTTCTGCACTGCAATGAACCTCGCAAAATTCAACTCAAAATACAACATGCAATTTGAAAGCGTTCAGATAGAGCCGACACAAGCTTGAGCTATGACCATGAACAGAGCCCATACAATATACAATTGAAAAAGTTTGGGACTTAGCGGTCTGTAACGTACTAGCTTCCGAACCTGCGCCATCTTTCCGACCCCTCCTTTTTCCCGTGTTTTCTCTGCATCCAGATGTGTACAGTTCGACCCCGAGACCCTTCTCCCCCCCCCCTTGTCTGTGCCCGATTAAAGGTGCCTTGTGGGAATCTGTCAGTTCCTTTTTTTTCTGTTTTGATTGAAAAGGCTTGGGAATTTCGCGCACCTTAACGAGTGCGCTTGGAATTTGGCTCGGCAGTTAGAAATCCCGGAATTAACGGAATGCCGCGCGACCTTCCGCGCGCGGATGTTCTCGGCCTCGACCTTGAAAACTCTGGGAAATTCTTGTAGGAATATGGACGGACGGAAGACTTTCTTTCCCGCGCCTGTTTTGCGTGCGGATATGGTGCTTTCGATTTTTGAATTAGCATAGGATTGGGAAAAAATGCAACTGTCTTGGTGCCCATTCCCCTTTTTCCGATCGGCACCATGCAAGCAAGCTCCCTCCTCCTTCCTCCCCGCGCTCCTCTCACCGTCCTTCTTCGGGCGCACACGCTTTCTCGCTCCCCCCTCTGTAACTGCTTTTCCCTCCCCTTCTCAGTGTGTGTCCTTTTTCTCCTTCTTGATCATCTGAATCTTGGACCCGTTTCGCGCTATCCTTCACGCTCTTCTTCTTCCCGCTCTAAGATCCGCGCTCGAAAACCCAGTCGATCCTCTCTCCCCATCTAGCCAAGGAGAAGCGCCGTGTAAGTTCTTACTGCGCAACGATTCTGATTGGTTGAGGTCGAGTTAGGAGGGATCAACATGGCTTTCGACGGGCGGTCACTCTCAAACTCTCCTATACCCTCCTTTGCCTCACCCTTCGCCTTTCTCCGCGTCTCTCTCCCTTATCGCAACTATAAATTCTGCTGGCGCCCCCGCAAAACTCTCTCTCAACTCATCGGCCAGCTTCCGGGAAGTAGTGGCTAGGTGATGTGTACAGTGTGAGTCGGAAAGTCCTGACGAGCTGACTGTAGACTGGTCAGCGGTGCGCTAGATCGCCACAACGGACTGTGGGATCCAGGCAAGCCACGTCGAGACTAAGTTGGCGGGGTGACGATCGCAGTGGTGGAGGATGACACGCGACGACCGGGATCGTCGGTGTCAGAATGCGGACAGGTGATTTGAGTTGAGTGGATGACTGGCCCGGGGCCATGTTGGAATTTGGTGGCAAGTGCGCCCTCTTGGTTGCGAATCTATTCTTTGGTGTGATTTTGCGGTGGTAAAGTCGGACCTTCTTTTCCTTTCCCTATCTTCGTGTAACTCTTCCCTCCGATCTTGATATCCCCATCTGTCTCTGTCTCATTCCTCCTTCTCCTTCTTCCTTGATGTGCATGATTCTACATAATAAGTCAATAGTTGGTGTGTGATGGAATGGGTATGATGCTTGCGTGATTGGAATGATTTCTTCCGGAACTCTTCCATTAG